AAGTGATCATAACTTGGTCAATTTTTATCACCTTGAGCCCACTCTTTTTCCACAATGATCTTAAGGATGTGAAATTTATTCCTTCTTTTATATGCAAAGTGAGAAAATGGATAGAAGATGTCCTAAGGATACAAAAGATTATAGGTCATTTCATGATTCTTTTCCAACTTCAACAATTCATAACTCTCTCAATTTTTGGAGATTTTGAATAGGTCAAGTTTCAAAATGTCATTCAAGAGGTCTATTTCATGCCATTTTTTTGGTCAATAGAAAATTCCAATAGGAAGATCATGTTTGGATGCAAAACATTATAGATCACTTTTGAAGAAAAACTTGAAATATTTCTAAGTATGGAAAGTCAACCTCTTTTTTCCAACTTTGACTCATTGTAACTTTCAGCTCAAACATCCATTTGATTCCATTCTTTTCCCATTGCAAAGCTTGTAATCTCATCTTTCTAAAGCATCAAGAACCATGCTTTAAGACCCCTTGAGCTGAGAATGCCATTGTTTCAAAAGTGGTAACTTGGAATTGAAGTTTCATCGCAAGTCAGAATTTGAATTTCATATTACAACTTCCAAACCTCAAATTAGCACGCGTTTTGGGTCTAAACATGATTAGCAAACTTTCCCAAGTGGATTAGTGCATCAAAATGCGCGTTTTAGATGAGTTTTGACAAAAGAGAAGTCACACTTTCTTCATGATGCAGACCCACACAATTCCATCCAAATTGCATCATGAACCCTTCCTTTTGATCCCATTTGCTTCTATAAATACATGAGTTATCCCATTCGTTTTCTCAAGCTTGAACAGCCAAAATCACCCTCCCAAACTTGCTCCATAACTCACTTTTCTGCAAGTTCGAAATCATTGTTCAAGCCTTTTTCAATCCATTTTTTCTATCAATTCACCTTCCTTGATTTTCCTTGAAGCTAACAGAAGAAGAATTGAGCCTTGAAACCTTCTGAATTGATCTCACCAAGTTCATTTACAGAGCTCTGCAACTGAACTTCAATAGGTAGATTTCTTCATCAATTCTTCCAAACTTTGATATCATTGTGAAGCTCTCATCGCCCTGGTTTTATTCGCAACACTTGCTTTTAACTGGAAACATGTTTTGGCCATGAATTTTCAAATTCCTTTTCAAAACTTTCCTTCCAAATTGCTTGAGCTACAGTTTATATAAATTTTTCGCGAAGGTGTGGTTGTCTTCGTCTTGATGAGACGAAGCGAATGACATAGGTTTGAGCTTCTTATTTTACAGTTTGAGGGCCATGTGTTTCACATTGGCTGGAGGTTGAAGATGACCAACGTGTCATCTTCCAACCAATGATGGCGTGTCATTTATATTTTTTTGAAAATCTGATTTTATATGTGATTCAGTGCTTTATTCAGTAATGACCATGATATGCACAACACATCAGATCCCTTGGATTTGATTACTAACGCGTTTTGACTCTCATCCAATGATCCACATATTTTTTACTTTATTTTTTATTTCTGATTTTTATATTTAATTGTTTTAAACTTCAAAAAATCATAGAAAATTCATTTTAAGTCCAAAAAATCTGAAAAAATTGTGGAAAATATTTTTGATTTTTCTATTTTATTTTTTTATTTTTTTACAATTTTATTTTTTCTTTTGATATTTTTTATAAATTTTCACTTTATATAAATTGTTTTAAATGTTTAAAAATACTTTTATGCATTTTTAAATTCTAAAAAAAATATGGAATGATCCAATGATATTGTGACAAATATTGGTGATCTCATTTATTTATTATTTCTGACTTTGTTATTTTTTAACATTTTTGGTTTATTTTACTCATTTCTTTTAATTTTAAAAATAGTTACTGACTTTAAAAAATTACCAAAATTTTATAAAAATATTTGAGTTCATTTCTGATTTTTCTATGGTCTTACTTAATATTTCTTGATTAATTTGAACATAGTTGATATTTTTCTCTTTTATTTCTATTTTAAAACATTTTAAAACCCTTTTTAATGTATATATTAAATGTAATATTATTTTGTGATTATTTTTTGGCTGATCTTGGATTGATTTTTTGATCATGAACTTTATAAACATCATTGGATCCATGGTGTTGAGTCTAACTCCATAAAAATGGATGAATGATTTTACTAATAGTTTGATTGAATTTTAATTCAAATGTCGTTTGTATATTCTTTCTCACCCTTCTTCATCTCATCAATTTCTTATTGCACTAAGTGTTATTGGAGCATGATCTCTATATCATGTCTCAAAACAAATAGTACATAGATTGCTATTGACCAGCCTCAAAATAGGTGCGACTTCTATATAAGTCCACTTACGATTGCTTAACATAGTGCTAAATTTTGTCCCGATTCGAAAAATGATCATTCGTGGTCCATACCTATGTCCCGATTTGAAAAATGATCATTCGTGGTCCAAATATGTTAATTTGATATCTTTGATCCAATAACCTTAAGATTCATTGTGTGGAGACTTTGGTTATACTAATCCTCTAATGGATCTACATCACTTTTGGTCAACGCGGATCACTTAAACATCGTTGATCATTAAATGGTACTTTTGAGGATTCCAAAATGGATGATATACTTGACAAAAAGCAAATGGAACATTATTGTGTGGAGGCTTTGGTTCTACCAATCCTCTAATGAGTTCCAAATGCAAGTTTCAAGATGGTCATCCAACTAACCACTAATTACTAATAATTGACTTTATCTTGTGTTGTTATTTTATACTCTTTTATTTTATGCACCATTTACTTTAGCATTTACATTTCATGCTATTTTCATCTTTGCACTTGAGTATTTACTTTTATGTCATTTTTATTTTGCTCACTTGAGCTTTTCTTTTCTTTTTTAAGATACTTAATAATCAACATGAACCATAAAAAACTTTAATGATACTTGGACTATTTGGTTACTATCTTTGACATTATGGAGTATTGGACTCCTTGGACTTAGGATTAGAAACTTTGTCCTATGTTGGAGACCTTGTGACCTTAATTGATATTTTGTCTGGAGTTCTTGAGGTTTACCTCAAGACACTGGGATGTTTGTTTGTTTTGTGTGCAAGTTATTGCAATTACATACTTTGTTTGTAATCTGGAATTCACCCGTATACAGTTGTTACTCTGCCTAATTTTTGTGAAGACTTAATACACTTGAAGTTTGGTTCTCTCAAGAGGTCTAGTATCTTTGCTTGCTTGATTTCAATCCAAAGAATGAGAATTATATCTTGACTCATAATGTCAATTATTGGCTTGTGTTTGTTAGATGGTTCTTATCCCTATCTTTTACCTCATGCTTGTCTCTTCTTCTCCTCATATCTTCTTTAATTTCAAAAATCTTCTCTCTCTCCTTTTGAAAACTCTTCTTGTTTTTAAACTTAAACCACTTTCATAATAAACTTGGACTTAGGTCCATGCATTTTCATAAGTAAACTTCAATCAACTTAATAATACCTTGACTTTTTTGTGAGAAGACTAAAAGTCAATCAATCATATTTCAAACCATTTTGCCACTTTGACTTTTTATTTTAAAACTTTTCTCAAAAGATTGGACTCTTGTCAATCCTTGTAGTGATGAAAACAACTATACTTCTACAATATGTAGTGAAGTGAGATATTTTCCACTTAAGTCTTGAGTGAGGCATTGTTGATTTTAAAATCCAAGCCATATCATCCACTTTGAGATGATGCAAATTCTCCTTTCTCATAATTGTGGGTAGTAAGTATGTTTTCCACACGGACAATGACGATGATGTCTTATCTCATAAAATTAACCAACACACTTGTGTTTTAAATTTTTTAAAGAGGAACTACGTGTACCCTGATCCCCTATTGCATGGAAGATGGTACGTAGGCACTAAAGGTTCGCAACTGCGGCGGGTGCAAAAATCATAAAAAAATATATTTTTTTTCTCACCTCCACCATCTATTTTCATACAAGATTTTATAGTCAAAATATACAGATTTTTCAAAGAGGTTCCTACGGAGTACCGTAGATGTTTAAGGTGTTAATATCTTCCCTTTACATAACCAACCCCCTTACCTTGAATATTTTCCCCTCTTTTCGGGTTACTCGCTCTTTTCCCATTCATTTGGAAACAATAAAGCGCAATGTCAATTTTTATTTTGATATGTATAAGTCTAGTCAATCCAATGGCTTAGTCTTAAATATTTCTACCGTTACACCAAGGTATCATATAAGAACTCAAAGCATTAGATGATCATCAAAATATCTTATAAGAATCCTTGCATCAGATGAAACTCCAAACAAACAGACAAAACGAGGATAACAGAGATATAACCAAAAGGTCTCATGTGAAGTAAGAACTCAAGTACAAATGGGTTAGAACCATGCATCAGGGGTAAATGAATAAATAAAATATGAAGTACAAGTTTAATTAATTAATTAAAATTTTGTTTAATTAATTAATTAAGTTAAGAAAAATTAATTAGCTAGACTAATTAATTTTTTTAGTAATAAAATCAACTGATTAAATCGACTTTTAGTTAATTAACTAAAAACAACAAAGTGGTGCTAAGATGAAGTGAACATATGAGCTATCTTGAAATCTACACAAATCATGAAGTTGTTAGTAACACAAGAGGAAATGTAGTAAACCAGATGAAAACTTACATTACTTACATGGATAACCAAACTTAAACTAAAATTAACATACATGTATGGATGGATAGCACAAAGCAAGAGTCATGGATTACAATGCAACTTAAAACTCAATTGTGAATTAACAAAGTGAATGGTAAAAGGTAAGTTACAACCAAGAGCTTCATGAAAATTTCTCAACCAATTTCAATTAAAGGGATAAAAGTTTCAACTCATGAAAGAAGAAGAAATGGAAATGGAGTTTCATGAGTCCAAACATGTTAAAATGGCTTTTTCAATCCTCAAAAGTCACGTTTCGTTCATTTAAACCAATAACACACGGTAGAGATTCAAATTGACACTCAAAATATATTCAACACATGAGAAACAAGCTTAGAACTAAGCCTTATTCACCTAAATTGAAAACCGGGCAACAACTACACATATATCATTATACCCCAAAATTTCATCTCAACATGTTTGATAAGTCGACACCACAAACAAGCTTCATTCAATTTTATTTCCCACAATGCGGTATCGGCACCGAAAATTCACAAACAACACCATGAATCCAATACAAACTTCAACAATTTAACTCAAATAAAATGGTATTGACATTGAAAGTGTTATTTAAATTAACATGAACCAAACATAATAGCAACATCACCATTCCAACTAATCACAACCTCATCACAAATTAACACAAATAGTGTCATAATCATCAATTAAAAACTTCAATCAAATTAATTTAAGTAACATGGTATTATCATCGAAGCTCATTACTCAAATTGATCTAAACAATCAACACTTCAAAATTCAATTTAAACAACAACATGTTCATCATCACATCATCCAAGTCCTCATTCAATTTCAAAGTTCTATTTACAAACAATAATCACCATCATGATCAATAAATTCAAAACTAATAATCAATCACCAATTTACCACAATAATATTATCCAAAAATTCAACACTTATTTACCATAACAAGCAACAAACTCATCAATTAATTTCAACATTTATTTAACAAAATAACCCATAAAATAGATTAAATAAAGTAATTGAAGTATAGAAGTTACCCACTCAAAAGAGGAGATGAAAGGAGGTAAACGATTGGGAGCTGAAGGTTGTGTGTTGCAGCGTAGAAATGGGCTGGAGTTAGAAGAAAATAGCGGAAATGGATGAAGGGTGATGGAGGTGCGGACCGTGAGGGAGTCACGGTGATGGTGAAGGGAAACGAGGATGGATGGATGGTAGAGGGTTAGGTTATGTTATTTCGGTTTGAAGATGATGGCGCCAGAGTAGCTCGAAGGTGGGAGGAGAGTCCTTCCGTCTGTTTTCGTTTTCTTCTTGGGTATTTGATCCGCTACCTCTCAACACAAACCCCGTCTTATCTCTTAAATCAACACAATTTAGGCTTTCTCAATTTTTTCTAATGACCAAAACACCATTTTTGTCAAAATTTACCTAAAATTATAACATGATAAAAATAAATATAATTAAAAATATTTTTGTTTTAATTTTTCTAAAAAAAACCTAAAATAATCAAAAACGATAAAAAATGAATACTTAATAAATCTAAAAAAAATGAACACATTAAAATAAATCACATATCAAAAAGGTTAATAAAATAAAATGCAAATGATCAAAATAGAAATAAAAATGAGAATAAGAATATCCGACTGAATAGACGCTGACAGTTAAAAAAAACTGCAAACTGTATCAAAAAATAAAGCGAGCATACCGACATGATCTACGCGAAACACAGATTCATAAACCGGTCAAATAAAGGTGAAAACTCGAAATATTTTGCCTATTAATTTTTCGCACAGTGTCGAATAGCTTTTAACACTCTGTCTGTAGAACCGAAATATCGATATTATTGAAGTGTATTCAACTTGACGCAATGCATGAAGCAGGTAAAGAGATAAAAATGCATGAAGTGAAATAACATATATTTCTTAACTATAAAACGATGTAAATAATAATTTAAGTTGACTTTTGGTGAATCTAAATGCATGGCGACCGATTAATGATGCAAATGCGATGAATGAATGACCCTGGGACATAATTGGAGTATGATAGGGAGGTATCCGTTTTTATGAGTATCAGATTTTGAAAGCAAATAGAACGAGTGAAAGAGCTTCGCGTAGCTCTTCGTCATTGCCTTCATATGTCCCTCACCATCACTGTCCTAACCTCCTCCGCCCTTGACTTCAACCAGATCGGACCAACAACCCACTTGTTGTCCATTGAATCCACACCATCAGTCTTCCATCCAGCCACCACCTCACATCCAAGCTCTGTTCTCCTCCACTCGACCGAAGAACCGAACAACAACATACCCCATTATCCTCTCACCTACTGCAACCGCCGGTCCACAACTGACTCGTCTCATTCTACTCGTAAAACAACATCGTCAATGCCATTGTTCAACCGAACAACAACTTCCCTTGTTCAACTGGTCATCATCATCACCACCGGAAAATAACAACTCCTTTTCTGTTACCATTTTCTTCAAGTTGGTAAGCATTTTTATATCACTTTTATTATTTTCATTCAATTAATTTTATTGTTTTGTTTATGTTAAATGATGAAATTGATGTTATTATTTAGTTGTTTGGATTAATTTGAGTAATGAGCTTTGATGATAATACCATGTTACTCGAGCTAACTTGATTGAAGTTTTTAATTGATGATTGTGGTACTATTTGTGTTAAATTGTGATGAGGTTGTATTTATTTGTGTTAATTTATGTTGAATTTGTGATGTTGTCAATGTTTTTGCTTACTCCCTCCGTCTCATATTATAAGATAAATTCACCTTTTAGATTCATTGAATAATTAATGTATCTGGTCTATATATAGACCAGATACATTAATTATTCAATGAATCTAAAAAGTGAATTTCTCTTATAATATGTGACAGAGGGAGTGTGTCAAATTGATGATGATTCTTGGTTGGTAGTAGAACTTTGAATTTAATTGAAACTTTGATAATAAGTGATAAAGTTGTTGTCGTGGTTTACTTGAGTTGAAACATCAATTGATAGCATGTCATTTATGTTGAATCAAAGATTACCATACTACTTGAATCATTTTGATTGAGTGTTGTTATCAATGCCATTCTCTTTGTGTTGCTCATGTTAAATTTAAGTAAGTTGTGATGTCGATGCCATGCTTTACACGTCATATATGTTAAATTCGAGCGAATTTTTGAGTCGATACCATGCTACTTGTTTTATCTATGTGAGGTTTGATGTTGATATCATGTCACTTACTTGTTTGGAAGGAGGTGTTGATGTTTTAATTCTTGAGACTCAAATTTGAATGAAGAAACTTGTTATGACATTGAATGTATCCACTTTGGTTTTTAACATGCTTTAGGTGAGATTTTTTGAACTTTCTCTTGTGTGTGATATTGCTTCCCGGATATTGTTTTGCATGATTAAGGTTTGGTTTGGACTCAGTTTTTCATGTTTTGAGTTGAATTGGGTAGTAACTTGAGTTAGTACTAGTTTAATTTGGTTTTGATGACATTAGGATGTTAATTTTTTGGTTTTGAATGAGGAATTCAATCATAGAGTTACCCTGTTATTCCCATTTGCTTAGAACATGCTTGGGTTGATTATTTTGGGTATCGATACATGTTTTGTGCGGCTTCCGGATGCTTATTATGTGATAAAATCTTGTTTTGAATATCGTTTGATCATGTTTTGAATGTGGTTTGAGTCATAACTCAATTTTTTGTTAGTTGGTTTTGATTTTGATGATTTGAATAAATGTTTAAAGTTGTGAAAAGCCATGTAACATTGTTTGATTGATGAACTCTATTTCTTCGTCTTCTCCCATGAGAATCATTCAACTTTTGTCTACTTGATTAATTGTGATAATTGAATCTTTATTCTTTCATGAGTTGAAGTTTTGCATATTAATTGAAATATGATTGAAGTTTGTTTTGAGAATTAGAGCTTTCATGAGATTTTGGTGGAAACTTGTCATTTACCATTTACTTTCTTAATCCACAATTGATGCTAAGTGTGTTTTAATTATTGATTATTGTTTTGTATTTTTAATTCATACATGTATGGTGATCTTGATTAAGAAATTTGGTTACATACATGAATTGAGACAAGCTTCATTTGGTTTATTACCATTTCTCTTGTGTTGCTAATACTGTTTATAGTTTGTCTAAGCTTTCAAGATGGCCCAAATGCTCACTACCTCTTTGCACACTTTGTTGCTTTTAATTAATTAATCAAATATTGATTTAGTTAGTTGATTTTGTTATTAAAAATTAATTAGTTTTTCTACTTAATTTTTCTGAACCTAATTAATTAAGTTAATCAACTGTTGATTAATTGGTTAAACATCCACTTCATACAACATTCGTTCATTTAGCTTTGATACATGGTTCTAACTTATTTGGCTTGAATTCTTATTCTATATGAGACCTTTGGGTTATTTCTCTGTTATCTTGATTTCGTCTGTTTGCTTGAAGTTTCATATGATGCATGATTTCTTATTTGATACCTTGAGCTTATCTAATGCACTTTCTGCTTGTGATTTATTTTCACTTTATGCTTGGTATACTATTGGTTTATTCTTTGCTTGTAGGCCATTTCAGGGTGATACTGTGAGTTTTGTTTTGTTACCTTTGTCATATCTTAGTTGAGAACAAATAGTCACTCAGTTTTTTCCATAGCTGAGATCACGACATTGTTCCCATGTTTGTTTTGGTTATGAATAAAGAGCACTCAGTTTTGACCATAGCTGAGATCACGACATTGTCCATCATTCTTTTATTTATTCCTTATTGTGGACGAAGAGTCACTCAGTTTTCATCATAGTTGAGATCACGACATCGTCCTCATTTTTGTTTCATTGTGAATGAAGAGTCACTCGGTTTCATGTCATAGCTAAGATAACTCTTAGTTAGTTTTCTCTTTGATATCCTAACTCTAGGACCATTGTGCATAACAACATTAAGATCTGAGTCTCCCTTAGTCCTTTTGATTCTCTCTTGCATTTGCATATTTGAAATTAAAACTTCTTTTTCTTATCAAATCTCAAAAATACTTAACAATAAAGAGGCGAACCATATGTCATGAGCCTTAAGTATTGGAAGAAGTATGAGGAGGTATATTCCTAACCTTGTGCTTTCTCTCAATTACAGTCTTTAATGGGTTCAAATCACAAAATACTTTTTTAAAGTAACAAAAAGATTCAACCAATCCAAACTTCTTTTGTTTTCAGGCCTTTTCTTTTGAAAACCTTTTCAGGTAAGAACATCTTAATTCCTTTCTATGACAAATGTGTGAGTCTCCAAAGGTCGAGTTGTAGTAGAATGTGAAACATAACATTGTTCACTAAAAAACACAAATACAGCAATTCTTTTTTAGAAGAACTATGGTACTCTTATTCCCTATTGCACGACGGGGATATGTAGGCACGAGGTTTCAAAACCGAGGCGAGCGTAATAATAAAAAATTTCTTTTTGGTCTTTAATAATTCATTAACACATTCCCTTAGCAAGTTTAAGCTTTAGATAACACACCCTTTGATTAAAA